AAAATATATATATATATATTTTTATTATCCAGATTATCAATATTAGAGCATCTATGTTTTATGTATTATTTTATAAAATATATATATGTATATTTATTATCCAGATTGTCAGTATTGGAACATCTATGGTTTTATGCTCGTTTAAAAGGAGCATCAGAAAAGGATGCCCAGTTAGAATCTCAAAGTATGGTAGAAGATCTTGGATTAGGCCAGAAAATGGATGAGTCTTCAAAAAACTTGTCAGGTTTGTAGACTTAAATGGAATATAATTAAAAGTTTTACGGTGATATAATTTGAATCTTGAGGGAAAGTTTATGCTTATCTTTTGAAAGAGAAGAATGTTTATCTTTTCATCATTCTCTAAATCAATCCTGCTGATTTTATTTATATTTCATCAAGTTTGTAGAGACAGAGTATCAAAATTTTGGTTTATTTTAAACTATTATTTAATTAATTTCATAAAATAACGTTTAAAGCAATTGATACTTTTATTTTTATAACTATTCAGGTGAGTGCTGTTTTGAATGACAGTTCCGTACATGTAAGACCAGGTAGCAGTTAAAAACACATACACTTAAACATATTCTCTCATGAGTTGAAGCTTAACAGTATTTCACACTGAACTTTGTTGATTTTGAAAGTGTCTTTAGAATGTCTTAAAATATTTAGCTTTAATCCTTTGAAATGTTAATATTAATGTGTTTTTCTTGAGCATTTAGGTAATGATTCAGTCTTTTAAGTGTCAGTTTTTAAAAAAAGCTATGAAGATTATCAGATGTTAATTTATGTTCGCCAATTGTCAATTAAAGGCTTTTACTCATACTTCTTAATATTATAAATATATACTGTGTTGTTGTTGGACTTAGGATTCTTCTACAGTAGGTATCTGTGACTTGTTGGCGATAAATTCAATGATAAATGAACAGTACACACTCCACTTGTTTTAAAATAATATGTGTATATATATATATTCAGAACAAGTTAAACGTATGTACAACAAATTCTATAGAAATCATAGGCATATCATAAACACTATATATATATATATATATATATATATATAGCTAGTAACCTTACCTTTCTTCTTACTTTCTTACTACTAGTTAGTTAAGTTATTGTTGTTAGTTAGTAGTACTTACTTATTTACTTCGTCGTTCCGT